ACACACACACACACACACGATGTTTGGTCTCATTAAGGTCTATATACTGCTCCTGACAATGTCAATGTTTCTAGAGTTATTGAAATGTTTATTTGAGCCACATCCCTGTAGCAATATCTATCAAGGCAGATACCACAACTATGGCAAATCCAACCTGAAATATGTGACACTTAGAAGTGAGTGATACAACATGTTGTTTATGTGTATTTATGTGTTTTGGGCAGATCAATGCTGTAAAACCTAATTTTCTTTCTCATCTGCTTCTCTTTATCTGCATTTCCTCTCCTCTGCAAATGATAAAGATTAAAGAAAGGTTCAGCTTCAGCCACACATTCAGTGTATTTCATGAAATGTGCTTCTAATATTTTGTGCGTGAGTTTGCTCAGCGTGTAACATGTGCTTTGAGGGATATACAACATGGAACAATGTCACATACATTTAGCTGATTGTAAAGATATAAATTCCTGGAGGTGTGTTTTAATTTAAATTTACTGGACACAACATAAAAAGGACTTAGCTCACTCTTAGAAGGTGAGAGGTCAAATCCTGTGGACACAGAGAGATTTCCATGCAGTTTCACAGAAAATGAGGCTTCTTTCATTTTGTTTAATCCCCAAACTGCAAAACCACCAGATATACATTTAGGAATTTGTGCAATAAAGACTGCTGAAGCAAAAAAAGTATGTTCCAAAATGCTTCTGTAGCCTGGACACATCGCAGACAATCAGGTGCTTATCACACACACACACACACACACAGGCGGTTGAACAGAGCTACACAGAGGTCCGCTGCATTTACAGTTCCTCTACATTTACATGGGCGAGACGCCAGAGCCCTCTGTCTGCGGGGGTCCATTCGGAGGTCAATACTACAAGACTGTAAACTAATGATCCAGCAAATTCCCTCAGTCCCGCTCTCTCCCCTCCTCCTTCTTTGCCTCAATCTGTTGTTGCCCTCCGTCTCTCCCACTCTCTGATCCCCTGCTGCTCTGCAGAAATGAGAAACAACTGAAGCTTCAGCAGCGCTGGGCCCGCACCGCTTCTCTGATACACACCACTGATAAACAAGGCTGCTTGTTAAGAGACAAATGAAACTCTGCCTTTGCCTGGATTTTCTTCCTTTTTTTTGCCGTTCACTGTCTTTTCATCTGGTGTTTTCTTCACACCCATTTCTTTCTTTTGTCGAGGCCTTTGCAGTCACGCACAATGGAACATCACCCTCGCCTCAAAATGTAAACACAGATAACAAAGTGATCTGCAACAACATGGAGGTCTACATGAAATGTTACAATATAAAAGTTAAGTGTCTGCAGGAAAGAATTCAACTGTTCCGATCTAATGGACACTTCTGTCGAGATCAACACAGACAGTGAAGTATCTCTGGGATCACGTATGAACATCTCAGACAGAAATGACATTTACAAGGCAGTTATATCTGACGACGCTTCTGAATAATCTGAAGATGCCACTATAGATGGTTCACTTATTATAAATATACTGTATTTGTGTATAACCTCTTATGCTCAATTACACATAAGCATTTCAATCACACAAGTTTGGGTGTCCATTGATGTTAGACCCCTCGAGTAGATCCTGACAATCGCATCCATGAGCAACATTTAGGTAGATGGTTGCTTTAAAGCCACAAGGGGTCTCTGCATCATGAAATCTAATAAAATCGATTATGAAAGTTATAGTTTGATGATGTCATGAAGCAGCGCGGGTTTAATGGAAGTTGCTGTCTTCACCACCACCGGTTTATAGATGAGGCAATGTACTTATGGTTTAATCACATTACGTAGTAATCGGCAACGAATAACCGTGATACATTAAGAGTCACCAAAACAAACAGTGGAAGAAAAAAAACTGCTGCCTGGCTAACAATGTGTTTTTCCTTTGTCTTGTGTCATTTGCACTTATAGCAGAGACAAGCAAAGCCACAGGTAAAGCAGATATGACACTATTAACACGTGACCAAAATGAAAAGTACCTTGAACAAAATTGGGGATTTCTCTGGATCTGAACATTGTTGGAAACATTTGGGATAATTTAAGTATACAAGGCAACAAAATGTATTACATAGGTCTACTTGTTTTTAGACGTTTTAATGAAGAAGTTTTACCTATTATATATTTTCTCATAGAAGGTAATCTGCTTATTGGCCATGATAACACAGGACATCTCTTCCTCTATGCAAACTAACAGGAGTCCTGACACTTCTGCAAACTAGCTATCTACTCAGCCAATAAGCTCCTTCCAGACACACTCCCTCTCACACACACACGCTTACATGTGTTCACACAGAGCATCTTCCAGGCCTGCAGGAAGCACTCCATCTCTGGCCCTGTCACTGCGATGAGGCAGCCATAGATCCACACTGCTCAGTCCTATCCATATCGATTGGGGATAAAGAATGGGGCTCAGGGGATGGAGCGGAACACTCAATCACACTGTTGACAACCATGAATGAACTGGATTCAAAGGGCACAATAAATAAACAGCGGCAGTCACGAGTACAGGTTAGACGATTAATCTGGTCTTTTAGGAGCTTAATGGACCCTTGCAAGTGAATCATACAAGTTAAATACAAGTTCATCACTGTTTTAGTTATGTCATAATGTTGCTGTGTCTCATCTCGGTGGCTGAAATGCATTTAAAGACCGATTACGTCGCAGCAGTGCGTCTAGACTGTCCCAATTTCGAAGGCTCCTCCAGACCAGACCATCTCATTTCTGTTGGGCCTACGTGGTCTACGCTGCCGATGAAAGATGCAGTCGTCGTCAGCTGCATAGATCGGGTCCTCCGCAGGATGTGGCCCCTGAATTGAGACACAGCTTGAAACTCTATGGCCCCACCTGAATCCTTGTATTAGTTAGAGAGGTCCCAACAAGAGAAAGCAACCGACCATAAATGTTTTGGTCTGTTCACATCAATTCATACATTCTCCTCCTGTATGCTCCCTGCTCGCTGACCATCTGACCCCTGAGCAATGAGTACTGAGCAGCCATGGCTTGATACATGCAACTGAACAGGAGGTCTCTTAGGGTCGCTTCCCTCCAACAGAGACCAAAACTTTACACCAAAAAAACAGTTTTCCCCAACTGCAGACAGGCCTCGTCAATAGAGCCCAGGACCCCATCATTGCAATGTGGCTGTGAAATGTTAACTCTCCGTTGCCCAAAATGGTCAAACTGTAGAAACGCTCATTTGAGCACATATCTAATTCCATCTTTTTCTAGTGTTAATGATTTTTTTTAAACTGTTCTATGTTTCATGCTCAGCACAAACATCAAATTCCTGATGTGGATTTACCTTAAAGTGTTAAACAGGATCTGTCATCCCCTGACAGCCTTAGAACATGTGGATTCATAGTTGAAAACAGGCACAGGGAGATTAGGTACAATAATGCATGCATGGTTTGAATTTTTCTAATATATATAATATCCTGGCTGGAAATTATAATTCCGTGACATCTTAAATCTACAGTATAAAATCTGAGAAGGATTCTTGGGTCAAACTCTGTCACAGCACAACCAGAATTTCCAGCATTTCTATTGCTGATGCGCAAAAGAGAAGTGTCTGTTCATCTTCGTCTAAAATGCTCAAATCTTTAGAGAAAGAATCAGGGACAGTTTCCGTCTCTCCAGCTGAGCGTCTGCTGTCACATCTCCTCTGCTGTGGCGGTGACTGGACTCAGCGGAGCGGCGGTCAACACGGTCCCTGCTGGAGGAGGCACACCGCGGAACATGTCGCGCGGAGCCAGCGCTGGATTTACGCGCACTTTTAGTTGCCGCTTCCATTGCGCACGGAGCGACGCGAATGTCTTGTTTCAAACTGAGGCGGAGCGGCATTGAAACAACCACATGTCAAACACAACAGGGCAATTCATCATTTAACAACAACGAACACGGCTCGATGTGCGAAGAAACAGACAACAAGCAGAGAGAGAGAGAGAGAAGCCTGGAGGATGTAATGAAGCAGAGACCAGGCGTCACATTCACAAACACTCGGTCTGATCACAGTAAACAGCACCGCCGCCAAAATGTCTCTCTTCCTCCAGATGGACGGAGAACTTTCCCAGCCCGGCAGAGCGCGGAGCCCCGTGTGCCGCTGAGAGTGAGCCGCCGTGCGCCCTCCCTCCCTCCCGCAGCTCGGTGTGTGTGACTGCTCCCGGCCGCTCGCACACTTCCCCCCTTCCTCCCAGTTTCCTCCCCCATAAATAAAACTTACTTCTCTCTGGCTTGGCTGTCGGACGGCACGTTGCTACTCTTGCCTTTGGCGTACATGCTTGCAGAGAGCTCCGATTGTCACGCACCTGTCAACCCATCACAACCTCCCTGGGCACAGCCCCGTCACCATGGCGACACACGCAGCGTCGGCTCCCATTGGATGCCCCGCTGTTCAGGACCGCCCGCTCGCCATGGCAACCGCCAGTGAGTGACAGCGGCTTGACCACGCCCCCAACAAGATAACTCCACCCCCGTGTCTATCGCTCGCTCTCTCACTCTCTCTATCTCTCTCCCATTCTGTCTTTCTCTCTCTTTCTCCCCCTCCCTGTCACTCTCTTTTCTCTCTGTATCTCTGTCACAC